TCCGACAATCGTGCACGCGGCGCGCGCACCCCCCCCTAATGGAATGGATATGAGCAACACATCTCGAAGAACAACAGTTACAACGGTGAGTAACCGTCTTTTATCTGGTTAAAGAGTCTCCTCTCTCTTGAACAGAGCAAAGTTCTGTGGCAATCCTCATGTTTCCCGCCCTGTTAATTTTGACAGACGCTTTTTTTTTCGGTGCACTGCAAGAGTATCATCTGAGATTTTCTAATTCCCTCTTTATTTCCTCCCATTCTCAAGGGTACTGCTTAGTTTGCTCTAGCTTCCCTGAGCTGTTCTACGTGGATATCATGTTGATTATCCATTATCATGGTTTGTATCCTCTGTTATGCCAGCCTCCTTTTTGCCGTTCCCCTTTTATGGTCACTTGAGAGCATTAGGGAAGTCTAATGTCATATTGCCCATGTCCTGGGAGCAGCACGTCTTGCAATGTTTATTTTGCTGACTTCTGGTATTCGCATTGTGCCTATCATGTGGCGGAAAGTACCTATTTGGAGAACTCCAGTTACTGCTGGAGAGCGAGTTTTTAGAATGTCTTTCTGTTATGTGATTGTTGTGCTATACGGACTTGTACTGGAAAATAAAATAGAGAGATCATTATACAGATAGCTGTATGAATTTTTATTGTCTGGATATTTGATATATCATTTTGCCAAGTTTTTGTGGTTATTTCAAGAAAAGTGGCTACAACACTTGACCTCCAGATATTTGGGGTGGGGGTGGGAAGGTTTCCCCAAAAAGAGAAAATCTAATCTCAGCAAAGGCAGAATTTATTACTTTAAATCGTGTTCAAAGACAGTCATAACACTTCTCTTTTTATGCAGTGAGTATTATATTGAATATGTTATATATGTGTACCACAGACACGCATACTGAACTAAGGAGAAGTCCTCATATGCTAGTGGTGACGAGTTAATTTCACTCCTGTCATAAGACCTCATGATGAGATTTTTGTGCCTTATCACAAATTACTGTGGCTGTCAGCAATTATTTTCAGTCTCAATAATAGCTGGCATTATTACAACCCGTTGGTAGATCTCATGATGAATGTGAAATTAACCGCACCAATAGAAGCTGCAAATAGTTACTGTGACCATAGAAGGCAGCTGTTTGAATTTATAAATACTCTTAAGTTTTCCAAGAATTTTATTATTGTTCTACCATTTCATTATAAATGTGTGTTTTGAAGGTAAAAATCTATCTACTGGATCAGATTGTTAACCTGAATTTTTGAAACTCCATAAATTATAGCTTCGCTTGAATGCTGAAAAATTTGAAGAACTGTTGTCTGAAAGAGCCATACAATTTAGAGCTATTGAACGACGATTACTAACTCGATTCAAAGACAAAACACCTGCTCCCCTCCAACATCTGGACACCTTGCTAGAAGGAACTTACAGACAGGTCAGTGCTATTTGTTTATGAACCCACTACATTGTTGCTGAAGTTTCAAGCACATAAGCTGTATTTTCCTGGTTACATTTACCAGCCACGAGACCAGGAAACTGTAATTTGTTTAACCTAATATTCACTGCAAGTTTCCAGATGATTTGCAATGGTTTTATTTAATCTACAACCGCAGAATTTCTACTCCTGGGTCACACCAACATAACAGCACATCGTTCTTTCCAAACTGATGTGGATAGTGTAAATATTTTATAGTTCATGTGAAAATATTTTATAGTTCATCGCTTGTATAAATATTTTATGGTGCACTGTAAACTGGTGGGAATGGTTTGGCTGGTGAAACAGTCACAACAAAATAATCTGAGGCTGACCATGTCCTTCCTCAAAGGTTATTTCCTGAAGGTTTCAGAATGCAAGAGTTACAATAAAAGTAGTAAAAACAAATAAGCCCAGTTTGGTGTTATTTGGTGTTATCCTACCAGAAAACAACAGAAAAACCCCAGTGTTGGTTACTACCTGAGCTCATATTGCTTGAGTCATCCCTGTCCCAAGGCATGCTCCTCTTCTGTCTCCCAAGCAGTCACTTTCTTGGCATTTCATGCCTTTCTGCTAGAAAACCTGATTAGTCTGTCATCTCCAGCCTGCCTTGTTGTTGCCTCCTGGTAGGTGCATGGTTCCGAGATGCTTTTAAATTACATTATTGAATCTAATTTTTAAAAGAACTATCAAACTAAGTCTCATTCAGCACGTGGACAGAATGCTGCACATATTGATGTCAATGTGGCTTTGCATAGGCAAGCAGTCCTCCTGTGTCCTGAGAGTTGCTGATTCGAGACCTAAGAATATGATCAGAATAAAACAGTTGACATGAACTGTATTAGATCTGTATCAGAGGGGTAGCCGTGTTAGTCTGAATCTGTAAAAAGCAACAGAGGGTCCTGTGGCACCTTTGAGACTAACAGAAGTACTGGGAGCATAAGCTTTCGTGGGTAAGAACGTCACTTCTTCAGATGCAAGTGACTTGCAT